ACATTCCTGGTCAGCCTTGCACATACTGGGATCACAGGTATGTATCACCACACCTGGCAATTAGGACAATTTTTTAACCGTTGTAACTTGGATACTTATTATGTTTTGAGAATCTGGATCTCATTTACAACTTAGGCTTTAGAAAAGCCTCTTCCAATACCATTCCGGCAGGTGTTACACCTGGTCAGCCTTGCACATACTGGGATCACAGGTATGTATCACCACACCTGGCAATTAGGACAATTTTTTAACAGTTGTAACTTGGATACTTGTTTATTATGTTTTGAGATTCTGGATCTCATTTATAACTTAGGCTTTAGAAAAGCCTCTTCCAATACCATTCCGGCAGGTGTTACAATCAGCTTCTAAGGAGGGGAGATTTACATTGGTTTACTTGTTCAGGGGTTTCAGCCACAATCACGTGACCCCATTACCTTTGAGCTTGAAGCAAGGCAGAGCATCTCAGTGGGAGCACTTCGTGAGGGAAGAAGCTTATTTCATGGCACCCAGGGGGAGAGAGGGGGGGGGAGAGAGAGAGAGAGAGAGAGAGAGAAAGAGAGAGAGAGAGAGAGAGAAAGAAAGAAAGAAAGAAGAGAAAGGGGCCAGACTGTCAATATTCCCTTCAAGGGCCTACATCACCCCTGCTAAGCTCCACATCCCAAGTGTTCTACCACCTCCCAGTAATGCAGTGGGCTTTAATACATGGACCTTTTGTTAGATTTAGGAGCACAGAAAAAGGAAGGAGTTTAAAGTTTAGAAATAAGAGTCAGAACCAGACCTGTCCCAGGCAAGGGATGTGTCCTTTATTCAAAGAACACAGCAAAAGGCTGGTAAACCCTTCTGTGGAATGAGGGTGTCAGCAACGAAGGGCACAGCAGTTTGGACTCGATAGGAACTCTGTTGAACGCAGCTGCAGGAATTTTTTCGGTACCAGGGTCTGGTGTCCTTGAGGGTCTCTCTCTCTCTCTCAAGATTATTTTCTCAGGCAGGTGATTTATCTTAGGTCACTAAAGGAGACAGGTTGGCTCCATAAAAAGTTTACCTCAGTCCAGGGAGCAACCAGTTGATAAGGCTTGAGCAAGGCCAGCCTGCCAATTTAGGGTCCGTTAGCCACTTTAAGCTCTTCTGCAATTCATACATTCTATCATCAGGGATGGGAAAAGGAGTGTAGACTAGGGTAAGGGACAGTTTTGTCCTATTGCATCTCATCTTCTATGCTATTCTGCAGAAGCCCTTCCACAATGGAGCAAGAGCTGCTTTGCTGGGGTCACAGGTCACATAAGGATGTTGGGTACAAAGGACATGGCTGGAGATTCTGCCATGCCAGGGCAGACTGCCCATGCCAGTGAAAAGTCCTGCCCCTTGATTTGCACAAGTGATAGAGATCTCCTAGTGGAACTTGACTCAGAATACTTTGCATAGCACAGCCCATAGGATGTGCTAGAGTAATGCCATGATGAGTGTTTTGTATCTTAAAGTGTTCATACATAGTTTTCTGAAAAGGAAAGAATATACATAAATGTATAATGTTCTTTATTATAGAAACAGTGGTATAAAG